GAGAATTTATCTTTAGAAAAATTCAGCAAGAAATGGTTAATACTTTTGTAAGAAAAATCACAGAAGGTATTAGTAATGACAAGAATTCAAAGTATTAAAAATGTTTACAGAATTACTAGAGGAGTTAATTAATCATTTAACATGCCCACATTAAGGAGGAATGAAATCTTTGCTAAATATGAAAATAATAACAGGAAAAATATTATTTTAAAACAAAGCCAAAACAATAAAACTGCATTAATAGTCTACGGTTTAAAGTTGAATTCTGAGTTTCGATGTGGCCCCCAAGGAGTCACAATCTAAGAATTCAGAAATAAGCTAGTATTCATTCTGCAATCCAACAATAATAATTGTTGAGAATGATAGTGATAAATGTAACAGTAGCAGCCAACATGCACTGACTGCTTACTATACCAGAACTATGTTTCTATGTATTATGTCTTATTTAATTTCCTCAACAACCCTATAAAGTTCGATTTTATTACTACTCATGTTTTATAGATGAGGAAATTTCAAGCCTCTCCTGAGTCTTAGAGGAGTTAAGTAACTTGTCCAAACCCCAGCTATTAAAATTTGAAGTTGGAATAAGACCTTAGGCAGTGAAATTCCAAAGTTACCACTAAGAAAAAACAAGACTTGAATGACAGAATGACTGAATGCAACTACTGTCTCTGTGCCTATTATGTATCCTGTTTTATTTTGCCTGCCAGTCTGAGAAGCCATTTTATCGAAACTACTCAGTTGCTGAACATTCAAGCATTAATTACGAAGGTAACACATGCCCAATCGAATAAAACTGCTGTTAATTGGTGTCCTACTGCTGAGACACATATGGACAAGCAGTATGTGTCAGGAAATTTTCATTCAGATTAAAGAAACCAGGTATCAAACTCTCAGGAAAACTTGATTTAAGGAGCAGAGGCTTTGTCTACCCACGCTAGCTCCACCTTGCTAACACACATGGCACTGAATAAATTGTCTTTACTGATTTCAATATCGCCATTGGGATATTAATTTATTATTAACACACAGTTAAATGACTAACAATTGTATTTTGACTCCTTCTTGGCGTACTATTTAAAATCATAATCATATAATTAAATTATTTGGAATGATTGTTATTTTTATTTTTTATTTTAATGAAGTACTTCTACCCAGTTTTTATTGTTTGTCTTTCTTAAACATTTGTTTTATGTTTAAATTAATTTTATTGTGCTGACATTGGTTAATAAAATTACATAGGTTTCAAATGCACATTTCAATAATATATCATATATATATTGCACTGTGTTTTCACCATCCAAAGAAAATTTCTTATCACCACATATTTGACCCCCTTTATCCTTATCTACCTTCCCCTCTCTTACTTTTCCCCCTGGTAACCACTAAACTGTTTTCTGCGTCTAAGAGTTTTTGTTTATTTGTTCATTGCTTTCAGTTTTATATCCCACATATGAGTGAAATCATATGGTTCTCAACATTTTGTGTCTGACTTATATCACTTAGCAAGATAATTTCAAGATCCGTCCATGTCATTGCAAAAGGCAGTATTTCATCTTTTCTTAAGGCTGAATAATATTCCATTTTATATATGTATCACAGCTTCTTTATCCAATCTATCAAAAGATATTTTGGTTGTTTCCATGTCTTAGCCACTGTGGATAATGCTTCAATGAACATTGAGGTGCATATATCTTTACGGATAAATGTTTTCAAAATTTGAGAGTAAATACCAGAAGAAGAATTACAAGTCATATGGTAATTCTATTCTTAATGTTTTCCATACTGTTTTCAATAATTGCTGTGCCAATTTACATTTCTACCAGCAGTTCCTTCTTCTCCCAGTCAGATGGTTGCCTCTTTGTTTTGTTGATGATTTCTTTTGCTGTGCAGAAGCTTTTTAGTTTGATATAGTTCCATTCATTTATTTTTGCTTTTACTTCCCTTGCCAATGAGGTCAAATTATTAAAATCCTCTCTAAATCCAAGGTCCATGAGTTTTGTACTTATGTTTGTTTTCTTCTATGCAATTTATTGTTTCAGGTGTTACATTTAGGTCTTTGATCCATTTTGAGTTAATTTTGATCTTTGGTGACAGATAGCAGTCCAGTTTCATTCTTTTGCATGCGGCTTTCTAATTTTCCCAGTGCCATTTATTAAAGAGGCTCTCAGTTCTATTCTAGGCTCTCAGTTCTATTCCATTAATCCATATGCCTGTGTCTGTTTTTCTGCCAATAACATGTTGTTTTGATTACTGTTGCTTTGTAGTATAATTTAAAGTCAGGCAAAGTGATACCTCGAGTCTTATACACATTTTTTTTCCCCCAGGATTGCTTTTACTATTCAGGATCTTTTATAACTCCATACAAATTTGATGCTTTTTTCTTCTATTTCTTTTAAAAATGCCACTGGAATTTCGATGAAGATTGCATTAAATTTATATATTGTTTTG